AATATATTATGTATATATTTAAAGAATTCATGGCGTTTTAAACACAAAATATGAATATACACAATTAAATTTAACATATATTTTTAAAATGTAATATTGAAAAGAATTCTTTAAATATATACATAATATATTAATATATGTGTGTATATATGAACACATGAAATATAAATATATACATAAGATTGTATATTTAAATGATGTATTATATTTTTAAATGGAATATTTAAAATTATCATTGTATATATATATATATATATATATTATACACACACACACACACACGTATAAAATAAACATACAATAAAAATTATTCATGTAAATATTTTCAGAATGAATTTAATATTTACATTTATAATTTAAATATAAAATTTTATATTTTAAAAGTATAATACATAATTTGAATTTTCCATTTTATGCGAGTTACATAAACAATATATTTATATGTAAATTTTATAAATGTATAAAATATGCATTAAAATTTTAAAATAAAAAAATATATGTATAAAAATATGATACATTTTCTCACACACACACACAGGTCCGAAGCTAGTGTGAAAATGTGAAATCATGACCGTTTTTGACACTTTCCAAAAATGACCTCAATGGAATAGGGCAGGAGTTTTGCATTGTTAATATTTGCATGTTTAGACCCTTTTATTTAAAAATACAAAGCAAAATACCTGTCATCCATCATATGGCCAATTTAAAACCACAGCTGTCTGGACTACACGTGATTGTGTGACTCGGGTGAAGATTTACCTGAGCTGACGCCCCAGTTTGCGGAAATGACAAGCAATAGTTAGGAGACTGAGAGAGGCTGGCGTGCTCAGCACACACGCTCTGTAGTAATGCAGGTAACGCCGCAGCCCACCTGTGAAGGCCTAAAACACACACACAAGCATCTGTGTAACATGTTGCTATAGGAAAAGAACATACAGGATGTGAAATGCTGGTCCTAGATCAGTCCTAAAGTAAAGCATGCGTCACCTGGAAGACGAGTCCCTTCTGACTCGTGCTGCTCAGGGAGAAGCGGCTGAGACGCAGGTAGTGTGTGCCGTACAGCGCCAGCTCACCCAGCAGCCGAGACACACTCTCAGGGGACGTCCCGGACACACATATATCCGGACGAACATCAAACTGCACACTAGCCTTGAGTCAAGAAAAAAGTTCTTATTATTTGATTTCCAAATAATAAATATCCTCGTCTGATTCAAGGTTTTCCAAAATATTCGCCTCTGGCATGTTACTATGCAGTTGCTAGGGTGTTCTGGGTAGTTGCCTACAGGCTCAAGTAAAAAGAGTAACAGTGACACTTTACATGTTTCACTCTGTAATGTCACATTATGAAAGGTAGATGTGCTAAATTTCATTGCCATCAATTCTCTTCACACAAAATGCTTCTATGGGCTGTCATGCATCACAAATGTGTTTCTTTGTTGTATAGTTAATTCCACTACCTCGTTGAGTGGAAACGTGACAGAGGAGACCCCGATCAGCACGTTGAGCACGTCTTTGACCAGCTGACTCTGACAGTCCAGCGGCAGCGGCAGGAGCGGTGATGGTGTCTGTGTGGACAGAATGTTCCTCATTTCTCCCTCCCACAGTCGGTACAGCTGATCAAACGCCTCTCTGCCAGCCTCTGTCAGGTACGGAGGTTCCTTCTGACCCGGCGGGCTGAAGGAGAGAGAGGATGACAAATGTGGACCATCTTCAAACTACGTCTCTGAAACAAGTTGGCAGGGGGGAAATGAATGCATTGATTTGGTATTTTTTAAAGGGATAGTTCACCCAAAACTGACATTTCTGTCATAATTTACTCACCCTCATTTAGTTCCAAACCTGCATAACATTCTTTCCCCTTGTGAAACGCAAAAAATTTTTTATATTTTGAAGAATGCTGGTAACCAAAACTGCTTCCAATTGTATGGTTTAAAAAAATATAATGGAAATCAATGGGAACCAACTGGAAATTTTGGTCATCAACCAAAAAATCTAACTTTTTCTTTTGTGTTGCACAGCAGAAAGTCAGTCACGTCTAACAACATTAGGATGAGGAAATGATGCCAGAACTGTCATTTCTTAACTATCCTTTTAATAGATTATGATAATTAGAATATCACAAGGTATTAATTATTATATAATATAATTTAAATATAAATTATATAATTTTTGTAACATTATTATTATTACTTTAATAATTATCCAAAATAAACCTTTTGACAATTTTAACAAAAATAACATTAAATAAACTGAAAATTTTAAATATTTGTTTTGTGAAGCAATTTGGGCACCTGTGTTATTTTAGTATCACTGAGATACTATTACAGTTATTAATATTTTGAATCGGTTTTTATTTTTACATTTTCCATTTCTATTTTAGTTTGAGTTAGAATTTGACTAATTTTGTTGTGTGTTGTTTTTAGTTTTTATATATATATATATATATACAGTGGGTACGGAAAGTATTCAGACCCCCTTACATTTTTCACTCTTTGTTATATTGCAGATTATTATATTATTTCAAACATTTAAAAATAAGCCTTTAGACAAAGTTTTTGGAATACATAAATTGAGTCAAAGTGTTTAAAAATGTTTGATCAATAATGTATTTTAGAAAGTAATTCTAAATCAATATTTGGTCAATTCAGTTTAAGTGTTTTGATGCAGATTTGAAAAAATCATTAATCAAACCACTGTCAGTCGGAGCAGATGTTTACATACTAGCCTGCTCGACTCTCTCTCTTACCAGCCAATGTTCTCCCAACAGCGTCGTCTTCCAGGCACGAATGTCCGCAGGGCCTCCCACACGTCGATCTCAGGGCTGGGACTCGGCTCGGATTGGGAATCTGGAGTCAGATTAGAGGCGGACTGAAAGCCTTCATCGTCAGACTGATCCAGACACAGAGGAACCTGCAGAAACAAGAGCATATAAGCAACCAGAGAGGACCGTTTTTAGGAGAAAATACTAGTATTGATACTAATTTAGTATCTTCACCCGTATACTGAGTCCAGTAAGGTCTGCGTTGCTTGGAACGGGCGGCAGGTCCAGACGGACGTCCATATCTGCTGTTCTGGAGTGCTGTAGGGCACCAAAGAGCGACAGTCGGGTCTCTCTTTCAAACTTCTCCTCGGTATCCTGTCTGCGTCCCAGTCCGAGCAGCCCAGTGCCTGGCGGAGCATCCATGATGCTCAGGGTCCTACAGATGCCCCCAAAAACGCCCCATTCCTCACCACAGATCAAAGACCACGCCCTCTCCTCCAGCCGCTGCATGTCCCGGCTCAGGTACCCGCCCAACGGCGGTCTGCGCTGCACGGGACGTTCCCGGCGCATATAGTCACGACTGAAAGACAGAGGGGGAGGTGCCACGGACCCGGCCAGCTGCACCAGGAGCTCCAGGACAGAATCGAGTTCGGACAGTCCCGAGGAGTCCGCCCTGTCCCGTAGCTGACTCAGGAGCTCCTCCAACCTCTCCGCCTCCTCATTGTGGCCAGACACGCGCAGGTCGAACGAGATCATCAGTATTTTATTATGGGCGGGTGTGTTCGCCAGGGCGTTCGGTGGCGTTTTGGGTGACCCATCCTGGAAGAGTCCAGCGAGAAGCGCACCGTAAGCACGCTTGCGCAGGGACCGACGAGCAGACTCCCGGGATGCTGCGCCCAGAGCCCGGCGTTTCCATGACAACCCGGAGAGGCCGCAGTCGCAGAGCGCACCCAGCAGCCCCGTGATGCTGCCGCTGTTGCCCTGGCAACCAGACATCTCAGCAAGAGCGCGCGATCAAGATGCAACGAGACCTGCGCAAAACAAGCTATATTAACGTCACGAGATCATTGAAATTCATACAGTAATTAATTGCTTGAGAATATGCACAGTATCAATTGTCCTTAAATAAATAAAGTGACTTTGAGCTTAGGAAAGGTATAAATGATATTTTGTGTATCTTCTACTTCCATCAATAAATATTTACGTCTGAAATATTGAATATTATATTAACATCTTACATTTACTATTATGTTATTTGCTATATCTTTCTGTTTCAATAAATGAAGCATACATGATCCAAACCCAACAGCCACAGCAGATTACATACATTCTTATATATGAATATTTAAGGTTATTACACTCATAACTGGTTTATTTAGCAGATAAAACATTTTATTTGCCGTATTTAATACTGAAGGCAGTAAACAAACGCCATCACGCTCACATATACGTGTCTAAGATCTTTTACTCACGTTGGAATTCGAGCTTAAGCTGTCCGAGCTGCAAATGTTTATTCCACATCAGTGAATAAATATTATTCGTAATAAAACAATACGAATTTGGTGCGCATAAACACGCACAAGCTAAGCTTCCTTGACCGCCGCGCTACACACTGAAGTCCCGCCCTCTCTGTACTCTCATTGGATGAAACGTAAGAGAGTGCACATTCATTGGCTAAACCTGAGACACGTGCTCACACTCTCAGTCATTTCATTGGATCAAACTTGACATACACAGGCTGTATTATGACACATTTCCGGATGCTAAAAGCGTCCACTAGCGATTTGAATGCATTAGTAATAGTTTTATATACCAAATGAACTTTAACATTTACATGCAGCTGCAGTTGGTCTCCTGTCGGCGGATGAGGCTGGTTCTTTTCTCCCCAAGGGAAAAACAGAGCAAAGAGTGAACTTTCTAACAAGCTAGAGAAGAGTAGATGTCCCTGAACGCGAGGAACAACAACCCCATTCAGGTTCAAACTCTCCCTCTGGCTCCTGCGAGATATGCAGATGCTTTGAAAACGTCCACAAGCTACAGCTGTTTGTGGTCAAGCAATACATTATTAATCATGACAATTCCTTTTTTGCGGTTTCTGAGCTTTTCCTGGACCGCAGCCGAGGGAGAATCCTTGAGTGTGTGCGGGTTTGAGGGCCCGTGGCTCCCTTTAAGGCAAAGCAGAAGAAATCTCATTAATATCTGAGGGTGAGACACCACTGCAGGTGAATACAAACACAAACACCTGCCAGAGTGGGCTTTCCTTGAGTGATGGCTCTCACAGCGAGAATGAAAGGGCCCGATCTTCTTATTTTCCCAGCATGTGGAAAATCTGAGCTGTTCTTTTATTTTTTTTAGGCTGAAGCCTGGTTGCATGGAATCGTGACTAAGTTAATTCAGCGCCCATGCAGGGGGGCCGCACGGTCTGATCGGATTAATTCAGTTATAGAATCATGGGTAGCAGAAGCTCCTATGAAAGAGAGAGTCTCACACATCCAGACCGGCTCTTGCCCGTGTTTAACTGGAAGACAGAGACTCATATAATGCTTATTACCGGGACTTTATGAATTTACATAAGTCAAGAGGCATAAAAGGTGAAGGGTTTATATTGAAACTGTCTTCATCTCATCTGAAATCTAATAAGAGAGAGGTGTGATTAGATTTGTCTCTGTGAAGTAAATCGTGAGAACATTTCTGATAATCTGATTGAAATATTTCAGTTTGGCACCAACACTTCAGGCCCATTTGTGGTGGACTCGGGACTTCAGGTGTGTTGGTTTTGATGGTATCCACCGCTCCGTCACAAAATGCAATTTTTTTGCATATGTAATTTTTCTTCAACAACCCATTTTAAGGGAAAGTTAATCCAAAAATCCAAATTCTGTCATTTACTCACCCTCAAGTTGTTCCAGACTTGTTTGAGGTTCTGTTTTCTGTTGAGCACCAGGGAAAGATATTCTGAAGGATTTTGGTAACCAAGCAGTTGGCATTGACTTCCACAGTATGGGAAAAATATGGAAATATGGAAGATGATGGCTACGGTCAACTGTATATTTGTATAGCTATCTGCTTATAGTTATACAGCAAAAAAGAAAAGTATTATTCGATGGCCCAAATATACAGAGCATCCTGGTTTAAACCTGTAGTTTTAATATTAACGTCAAATTAAAGCTTATTTCCACCACAGATTAACATCACACCTTCATCCTCCAAAAACATGACCAAAACTATGCAAAAATAGGATAAAGATGGTTTGTGTGATAAATTATTGGCTGCTGAGAGCATGAAATCAATTTAAAACCCAGTTAGAAAGCAAATACTGAATGATTCTGCATATTGTTGGGCCTATTCATTTTAATACATTAATGTGATTTTTAGTATTAAAAAAAGTGACGTGACATGTGGCCAAGTATGGTGACCCATACTCAGAATTAGTGCTCTGCATTTATCCCGTCCAAAGTGCACACACACTGCAGTGAACACACACCCGGAGCAGTGGGCAGCCATTTATGCTGCGGCGCCCGGGGAGCAGTTGGGGGTTCATGGTACTGAAGGTGGGAGAGAGCGCTGTACATTCTCTCCCCCCCCCCACAATCCCTACCGGTACAAGACTCAAACCTGCAACCTTTGGGTTATGAGTCAGACTCTCTAACCATTAGGCCATATATATAGTATTTATTCATATTTTGAATTAGCTTCTATTTTTATCATTTCATATATATTTGTTATGTGCTTTTGTCATGTTTATTATTATTATTTAAAAAAAATATTTCCATAGTTTAATTTTTTTATTTCAGTTTAATTATAGTACTTCTACATAAACTTAATTCAGTTAGATGCCAAGGCAACATTTCTATTTTCATGTACTGTAAGTTTTAAAAATATTTCAAAAATGTTTTATATTTTATGTCAACATTATTTCATTTACCGAAAATTATTTTTATTCGTTTTAGTTAAAGGGGTCATATGATACGATTTAAATTTTTCCTTTCTCTTTGGAGTGTTACAAGCTCTTGGTGCATAAAGAAGATCTGTAAAGTTGCAAAGACTAAAGTCTCAAATCCAAAGAGATATTCTTTATAAAAGTTAAGAGTCAGCCACACCTACCTAAAACGGCTCGTTCTAATACGCCCCCACATGTCTACGTCACGATGTGGGAAGATTTGCATAACGCCGCCCAAATGTTCACGCAAAGAAAGAAGGCGTAACTTTTATTCTCGCTGTAGTATTGTTGCCACCGCCGCCGCCGCCATGTCGTGAAGGCACTGTTTGTTCCGTTGTGAAAGTGAAACTACTTTGTTTGGTCTTCCAAAAGAGGACGATATCTGCTT